CAAAAATCAACACTGATGACTCCGAAAAGGAAACTGAGAGCTGAAATATATGAGCAACTGCACTGCACAGAAATCATTTTACATTTTGAAATTATTACAAATAATGCAGCTGGTCAGATATTTGAATATCTTTTTAAGAAGAAAAAGAACATTATGAACAACAGAACAGATCTATTCTGATTCTGAAAATAAATGAATAGCCATAAGCCAAAATAAAAAAAAATAAAAAATAAATAAAATAAAATAAAATAAAATACAAATAAAGGACTATGGCTGACTAGAAGTTTGTTGGCAAAAATGAAGACTCAGAGAATTGAGCTATAGCTGAGATTCTGATGCAAAACAGTCATAATTAAACTAACAGTACTAGTGATGTGGCAAATGGCACTTGTTAAAGATGCTGAATGGTTTTAAGAGAGATGTGCTCCTGTGTGTGTTTGAGTACCTTCCCCTGTCCCTGCCGTGTCTCCAGCTGTCTGCACTCCTGCTGCAGCGCTGCGATCTGTTTGTCAAATAAAATAAAATAAAATAAAATAAAATAAAATAAAATAAAATAAAAAATAATTAAATAAAATAAAATAAAAAGGATGCAAAAAAAATAATAAATAAACAGGATGCAGCGTCTAACAGCAAGACAGCTCCAGCATCCCAAACACCTTTTATAGGTCTAATTGTTTGGAGAATGAATGAATGAATGAATAAGTAAATAAATAAAATTACATAATCTCAAGTAGAAAGTGAAGACTGTTTTAAGGTGTCTCAACTATCTTTTAAAACTTTTGTCATGGGGGAAAATTCAACAGGACAGACCTTGCAATCAGGACACTGAGTTTTTCCCACAACTATGATCTGAAACAGTCAAAACAACAGGTTTTTCACCTTGAGTTCTGACGATCTCTCGAACTCCGTGGAAAAAGCCTCTGTATTTGGGATTAGCCGAGGTTTGATCATGGATGAATTTCACCTGGAAACGTGAGAGATGAAGCACATACGGTAAAACTGCGGCAGAAATAAATGCCAATGCTAATGTAATGTTCAACATGAATGACCTTTGACCTCACCTTTATGGTCTCCATGGGACAGACAACCAGGACGGCCTCCATCACGCCGGCACCCAAACCGCAGACTAACCCTCGAGTGCTGTCCAGCTTCCCAGCCTCGTCCCTCATCTGGTTACTGAGTATCTCAAACACACCGAACCTGCAGAGGAACACAGAGAACTTGTTTTAAATGAGGTGAAGAAAGCAAACATTAGAGAATAAAGCATTGCTGCAGGGCTGGAAACTAATCAGATGCTGAACCTCAGCGCGCTCTCCAAAAAACCTGTTAACACTTCAAAAAAATAGCACGCAATATGAATCAATCATTTCTTTGCACCCCAATAAGTCACACACAGTCGTTTGTTTCTGAGGAAAGCATACCAGAATTAATGGTAAACAATGCAAGTCATACAAATGTGCAATAAATACAAACAATAAATTAATTTAAAAATTATAGCTAAAGTAATTGTTTGCTATGCCACTTCTCTCATTTGGCTTTAAAAAACAAACAAAAAAAACAATACAATACAATACAATACAATACAATACAATAAAATAAATACATAAATTAATTAATTAATTAATTAAAATAAAATAAAATATAGTTAATACTAACTAATGCAAAGTTTGCTATATCACTTCTTTCATTCGGCAAAACAAAACAAAACAAAACAAAACAAAATAAAATAAAATAAAATAAAATAAAATAAAATAAATACTAACTAATGCAAAGTTTGCTATATCACTTCTTTCATTTGGCTTAATAAAACAAAATTAAATAAAGTAAAATAAGATAAGATAAAATAATCACTAAAGCATAGTTTGCTATATCACTTCTTTCATTCGATAAGAAATAAAAAATAAAACTATTTTATTATTATTATCTTATATCTTAAAGTATAAAAATTACATGGATGTATTTTAAAAATGAATAAATATGACAAAAACAATAAAATTACTAAAACTAACTTAAATGAAAATGGAATATATAAAAATAAGAACTAATTAAAAATATTAATAAAAACTATAACAGTATATTAATGAACTAAAAAACAAAAATATATATATAAAACTTATATAGCTATTTTTTTTAAACTAATAAAAATAGCAAAAACAACAAAATTGCTCAAATTTTCACTAAATTGAAAATGAAAACAAAAATATAAAAATAAAAATCAATTCAAAATATTCATTAAAAACTATAACAGTATATTAATGAACTAAAAAACAAACAAGCATAAAAAATTATATAGATATATTAAAAACGAATAGAAATAACAAAAACAACTAAATTACTAAAACTAACCTAAATGAAAAAGAAAATGGAAAATAAAATAAAAAAATAATTCAAATATTAATAATAAAAACTATAACAGTATATTAATAAAAAAAACTAATGGCAAAATTGCATAGATATATTTAAAAAATAATAATAAAAATGACAGAAACAACAATATTACTATAGCTAAATTGAAACAAAAAAAATACGAAAATAAAAACTAATTCAAAATATTCATAAAACCTACCCACCTTATTCTTCAATGCGGAAATAATGAGAAGAATAACAACGTGCAGTAAACGGTAAAACTGTTTGCACTACAAACCAGTGTGTTCATAATTAAGATAATACATTAAAATAGTATGGTAAGACACACCGGTTTGCAATATCAAGCAGCAAAACGAGCGGTTTTGTACAACTAAAAATAGCTGGACGTGGATGAGACCGGAAGCCAGACACATTACATTTACAAATGACTGTGCCCTCTCTTATGAGGTGGATAACAGTAAATCAATGAAACTAAATTAACAACGCTTAGAAAACAGCACACAAGTATATGGCCAGGACACTTTTACAGTGCTTTAATCACCCGTTTTTGGAGCTTAACGGTAGGCCTGGTTGATAAAACGGTATCAATATATATCGACGGTACACCTTCTTCGATAACAATACAAAAAAATGTTGGATATAGTGCACGATACAGGCACGTGCTCTGAGTGACGCAGACAGCACACACAAACACGAACACATGCTGAAATGACTGTCTGTGATGAGGAGACTGTGAATAAAAAATTAATATTAGTCGAATTTAAAATAAACATTTGCATTTGAATGCAATAATAGTACAATTGAATGTTAGGTGTGCATCAGGGAGCGTCATCAGTGGCGCGCGAGATGCGGTGATGATGATGTAAGTGACGTTGTTGCATTTTAATGTTTTGTTAGCCTAGCCCACGAGATGCGCCGCTGCTGCGTTATTCATTCAAGATATTAGAAGCTCAATGCGGAGAAGATCTTGATTAGGTGAAAACCGAAACCAAGCCATTCACACAGATGCACATTCAGCACGTTTTCTCAGAAGAGATCTATAGAAAGCCATACAAAGTTAAAACAGTTTAAACTTTTAGAAAACACGTCACGAATTTATGGCGGTTTATTCCGTTTCACTGCGTCTCTTATGTTTTTAAAGGCAGTCTGTGTGATGGGTGCTTCGGCTGTTTGTATTAAGCAATGCATAAATACATGATGCTGTTTTGTTCATAATTGTTTATGCAATTTACAAAATTATATTTGATTTATATGAGTTAATTTAGACGTCATGCACGTTTTTTTATAGACAGTTATTTCCTTGCGGTGACAATTTAATGTGCTGCATTATTTTGCTCATTGCGCTCCCTCGGGAAACAAGCCAAAAGTTTAACCTATTAATCTGCATATAAAACATTAGAAACTAGATATTTGTTTAATTTTTATTTTGTGTTTGACTGTTAAAACAAAAAAAATATTTGTTTAAAAATACAGTGGTTAAATGTAAAAAAAAATTTCTATTGCTCTGTTTTAAAACAGGTTATAAAACATGTCAATAATTATCGATACCGAACGATATGATACATTATATCGTTGATACATTTTTTAGCTATATCGCCCAGCCCTAGTTAACGGACATGTTCACTATGAAATGTGGCTGTGTGGAAAGAAAGCAGTGTGAAGAGTTTCTGGTTTTGTCGTATGGGTTCAGAACGACAGCAGGGTGAGTAAACAGTGACAGAAGCTGAAGTGTGTTTAGTGTGCAGAGGTCAGGTCTCTCGTTCTCCTCAGTGACCAGGAGAGCAGAGAGCATCAGTCTGACAGACAGCGCCGGACACACACTGTTGCTCTGTCACTCACTCACACACACACACACACACACAGACTCATGGTATTAACCAAACCGCCTCTGAATGAGAAAGAGCTGCACGCTTCAACAAAAACAATCAGCATATTAAATGTCAGCTGTCTGAAATAGATGTGCAGCACGGCTCAAGTATGCATGAAGATGCATCTGCTAGTTTCTGTTTATGTACCTGTTAGTTTCTGTATATGTACTTATTAGAGTTGGCTTTTGGCTCAACAGACTGATCTAACATAGTGGCTCTCGTTCTCTCCCGTGATGTTTGTTTTATTTGCTTATTAATCTTTTTCCTTCTGAGATGTTGGTCTCATTTTTATGAGCTGTTGTTATTGTACAGCACATTGGTCAGCCTTGTGTTGTTTTAATTGTGCTCTATAAATAAAACAAAGAAACAAACCTGACAGCAGATTTAGGGATGGATCCGTACAGCAGCGAGCTGAGGCCTCGATATAAACCCTTCACTCCATGATGACGGACCGTCTGTGACACACAGTCCGCTGTGAAGAAAAGATAACAACATCATCTCACGGTCTCTTCTGCTCAGCACGGTTGCATTTATTTGATCAAAAATACAGTAAAAATAGTAAAATATTATTAGAATTTAAAATAGCTGTTTTCTATGTGAATGTGTTAAACTGTAATTTATTCCTGTGATCAAAGTTGTATTTTCAGCATCATTACTGCAGTCTTCAGTGTCACATGATCTTCAGAAATCAGTATAATATGCTGATTTGCTGCTCAACAAACATTTCTGATTATTATCAGTGTTGAAAACAGTCGTGCTGTTCACTGTTTTTGTGGAAACTGTGATACATTTCATTTATCAGGATTCTTTGACAAATAGAACGTTCAAAAGAACAGCATTTATTTGAAATAGAAATATTTTCTAATATTATAAATGTCTTTTCTGACACTTTTGATCAAATTGATGCAACCTTGCTGAATAGAAGGATAATTTTTTTTAAAAATAAAAACCTTACTTATTTTTACTATATATGTACACTGTGATGCTTTAAAAACACATTAATGACAACAGTTTTATTCAATTTAATGGTATTGATATTAATAACACATTTTAATAAATAGTACACTTTTAATGGACACAGAGCCAGGGTTATAATAGTTAACTAAAACTAAAACAATAAAAAAATTATTATATGAAATAAATAATTAAATCAAATAAAATAAAATACTGAAACTTTTTACAATTTTATTTCAGCTAGTTGCCAAGGCAACATTTCCCATTTTCATTTAGTTTACTTTGAAGTACTAATATAACGAAAACTAAATAAATAAAACCCTAATAGCATTAAAAAAAATCATTTTTATTACTTAAAATAAAATAAACATTAACTAAAAATAAAATACAATAAAACTGGCTCAAATAAAATCATTTTCATTTACTGTAGTTTTAACTTGAAGGACTAAAATAACTCAAACTAATGAACACAATTTATAAAAAGTATATACACATTTAAAAATAATACAAACAACAAAATTGCTAAAACTCTGAATAAAATTAAAGTGCAAACAGAAAACATATTTAAAAATCTCATTCAAAATATTAAGAAAAACTCAATGATACATCAATAATACTAAAATAACACTGCACAGAGCATCATCTGGGTATTAGAGATGTGCAACTAAGAGCAGCTGTCAGTCTGTCTGCTAAATCAACAGAAGGTTAGTTAAAATGTTCTCTGAGCTTCAGCCAGAGAGAGAGAACGAGAGATGGAGAGATGGAGAGAGAGAGCGAGGGAAGATAAGTTTGTTTACTTTCAGAGCGCAGCACCAGCAGGTTGGAATCAGTTCTGGCCCGGAGAGTTTCACTAATTAACTCCAAAGAGGATGTGAACGTCACGCGTGAGTGTGTGTGTGTGTGAGTGAGTGAGTGAGTGAGTGAGTGAGTGAGTGAGTGAGTGAGTGAGTGAGTGAGTGAGTGAGTGAGTGAGTGAGTGAGTGAGTGAGTGAGTGAGTGAGTGAGTGAGTGAGTGAGTGAGTGAGTGAGTGAGTGAGTGAGTGAGTGAGTGAGTGAGTGAGTGAGTGAGTGAGTGAGTGAGTGAGTGAGTGAGTGAGTGAGTGAGTGAGTGAGTGAGTGAGTGAGTGAGTGAGT